CCCACATTTCCTCTAAGGCAAGGTTCCTGTTTGATGGCAGGACTTAAGGGCTTCCCTAACCCACAGCCAATGGGGTAGGAGCGGAGCAGCATGTATCTTCGGGAGTGAGAAAGCATGCTGCAAGTAAGGGAGCAAAACGAGTTGTTGGATCATTTTGACCTTGTGGCACAACTGAAGGAGGTGAGCTGGCCCTGCCTAGCACCTCATCCGTGCCCCCTGGGCCCAGGTGACATGACCCGACCTGCAAGCTCTTCCATCAGATCGAGGCTGTCTACCGCACGCCATCACTCGGGAGCAGTGTCTGGAAGCACGTGGGTGTGTGGGCACTGGCTCCGACCGCCCTGGGAAGGAAGGCTGCCCCCTAACGCCCTTGCACGTTTTCTATTTCCTGCCTCTTGACTCTCACTGAACCCCTCGTCCCCTTGAAAGCCCACGCCAGAGACCAACTCCTCTAAGAAGGCTTCCTGAGTCCTCAAACATGTAATGCATCACTTCATCTCTGCTGCCTCCATGTCTTACAGTCTCTATGTGATGAAGCGAATGCTGATAAAGTGCTTTCTACATGTCAGAGTTCTAACTGCTTCACGGACACTGGTTCATCTAATGTTCACCACAATTCTGAGACACTCTAATCCTGTTTTTCAGATGAGGAAACTGAGGCACAGAAGGTAAATAATTGCACTGCGTCACAGGCTTTGATTCCAGGTAGCTCTCAAAGCATTCTGCCATTATTTCTATTGCTGCACTTAAGACATTACGCTGCCGTATTTATTTGTTTCAAAGTCCTCTTCAATACTATGAGGTTCGGAACGCAAGTACCGTTTTATCTGTTGAGCTCAACACCCCCCCGTTACTGGCAGTCTCAAGCTGACGGGCGTCCTGTGTGCTCACGGGGCCACGGCGGCCCCTCTGCTGAGACAGCCACGTCAGCAACCTTCTCATGAGCCTGCGGCTGAGCTTCGCAGGGTGGTCGAGGAGGAAAGGGACCCTAGCACGTGGCCATCTGCAGTCATTCCTGGAAACTAGCGCATCTGAAACTAGAGCCAAAACAGGAACATCGTCCCCCAAGTAAGCACCTCCAGAACCTGAACAGGGATTGGAGGCGAATCTCTGGAGCCAAGACAACTCAGGTAGAATCCAGAATCAACGCTTTCTGACTCAGTTAAAGGTAACTCTTGAGACGTTGCTACCCACTGGCTAGTGAGGAGAAGTCACATGCGAGAGCTAATGCAGATTATATCTCAATAATACTAATTAAAACCATCACCACCACCACAAACCCAAACACGAGAGGCTGGCTGGTAAATCACAGCTGTGGGCAGTCACCAGCACAGAGCCCACTGTCCACACACAATGGTGACCACGGCCTCCATTCCATGGTGCTGCTCTGGGCTGTGAGTCTGGCTCTGCCCTGACGACCTACTGCACGGCTCTGGCTCTCTACCCTCTCAGCGCCCGAGGTGCCACATCTATAACACAGGGCAACAAGAGAACCCAGTTCTAGGGTTGCTGTGAGGGTTAAATGAGGCACGAAAGTCAGATGCTTGGCACACTGCCTGATGCAGAGTGCGGGTCCCATAGACGCAAGCTATTCTTCCTGCTTACTTACTGACATAGGCAGAGGACAGTGGCATATGAGACACATGATCACACACACCCATTACCTTTACCCCTGGTGCCCAGCACACAGTGGGCATTAGTGAGTTGTCACTGAACAAATGAACAAATGAACAAACGAATGGCCAAAGTAATTCACAGGCTTTTGTTCAAGGAGAGAAATGAGAATGGCGATCAGAATTAAGGCTTAGGGGCCGGCCAAGTGGCGCGTTGGTTAAGAGTTGTCTTGGGACGCCAGCTCTGAGCAGCAGGGCCCTGGTTCGGATCCCACATGAGGGCCAGTGACACTGCCCCCTCTACAGCTAAGATGGTGAACAACAACTCGGCCTGGAGCTGGGCTGTCATGAGTCACCGGCGATGGCGTAGGCTGCAGCCCCTGCTGCAGTGGGCTGCCATAAGCTACCGTGTGTGGCTGGCAGCCAGCATGAGCGGGCGGCAGCCGGTGTGAGCTGCCAAGAGCCACTGTGAGCAGCCATCCAGAGGCTGGCGACCAATCTGCCTCACCCGGGAAGAGCACAATGCCAACATGGGCCAGTGAAGCAACGTCCTCCATAACTAGGCTAAAGAACAAAAGGACAGCAACTTGTCTGTTCCCCTTCCCCTGATTTCCCAGCGCTGTTCCCCTCCCTCAATTCCCCAATAAAATCATAAAAAAAAATAAAAGGCTTAAATGTCACAAGGATTTTTATCATTCTATTAAGGAGATGGATGTATCGTAGGCATTCAGTGTCACAATACTGATTCTTAGGCATTGTACAAATCTTTCTGTGTATCACGAATTATCAATGTGGTTAAATTATGGTCAAGGAAGTTTTAAAATCAAGTATATATTTCTGCATTCAAATGCTTTAAAAATTGGAAATCCATGTAGAGCATAAATGGCAACAACGAATTACCTGGGACATGCTGGCTGCCTGACGCTTGGATCACACTCCTGTACCCACGCGGCGTGGTCACTCGCCCACCTTCTATTTCCCACTAGACCGTGGACGCGCTTCTGCCCGGTGCTTCTGTACCCACAGGGCCCGGGCTATCGTCACGGTCAGTGAGTCATGGCGGCCAGGTGGCCATGGCCACCCAGACGGACCTTCTCAGTGCAGCAACATGTTCTTCTGCCTACTTATGCTGTACTCACATTTCCACAAAACAATAAAAAGCTCTTATCTTCTGAAGACCTTATAAATACAAATTTCAATATTTAAAAAACTGTTATACTTTAAAGAGAATCATTCTTTAAAACCCTAAAATTTAAGACTTAATGACTTGACAGAATTGACTTTAAACTATAAGCTAAACCATTTAAAAAGTCCTTCTTAATTTAGATGATTTGTAACAAAATCAGATGAAAGCTGTTAATTTTCTTACAATAAGCCACTATCGGCTTATACTGTCTGTCTGTCAGGTGTCACATCGCGCTAGCGTGTTAGACGGTGGTACCTGCTCAAAGGAAGGAGGAGGAGGAAGCGTGTGTGGAGAACAGCGAGACTAAAGAGCCACCTCTGCTCGCGCCTCTTGCACCCGATGAGAAAGGCAGGAGGCTCAGGGGCCTGCTCTGGACTCACGTCAGAAAGAAAACCGAATCAAAAAGAAAACCAACTTATCATCCGGGACGCTTACACAAACGCCAGGGAAGACGGCCGATGTGCTGAGACGAAGGGCGGGTCTGCAGCAAGCACAGTCTGAACAGAAGGCAGCTCCCTTTCAGCTCAGCGTCCCCTCCTCCTGTCCCCAACACCCCACTGGGCTCCTGAACTCCCCTGGGGGTCAAAGCGTCTGCTCTCAAGTCACACCCTACCCGGGAACTTGAAGTGTAACAGGAATTCAAATTTTGGCCAAAGGATCTTGACTTGAAGAGAAGGGAAGCTCTAGTTTATCCTGTGGGCAGGGACATGTAGGTGCCTGGATTCAGGCAGGGATGCTGACGACAAACCCCTCTCTCTCCTCCACAACACTGGGGTCCGCGCCATTGTCCTTGTTTGGAGGTGAGACTGGGGGTGTTGGGAGGGTGGATTCTGGGAAAGCACACGCTGGTAGTTACTTCGCACCAAGGGTAGAATTCCCCAAAATCAATACACGTGATGGCCTGTTTGGCAGGAAATGGTTCTAGAAAATGGAAATTTAATCTACCTCTCTGCATGATTTCTGAGGATTCAATGAGATATTTTAGAGCATTTAACACACTGCCAGGCACACAAGGACCTGATAAGTGTTTACTCTTATATCACTGATATGTAACAATGATGAAAACAAGCTTCAGAGAAAATCTGTTCCCAGACCATTAGAACAGTTGCAATTCTGCTGAAACCCACCAGCTGCTTATGATACAACAGAACAAAACCTGTTTTCTTTTTTAAGATGTTACTTTAGATGTTACTGTGGCAACATGTAATTTCAAACCTTTCCAATGCCCAGCAACCACAATCTTACTACATTCTGACAGCTGAAACATCCCCTAAGTGTGTGTGCTGGTTGATTTTAACAATCACACGTATTACATATGGCCTTCCTGTCCTCTTATGATGTGACATCTTACCAGGTGCATATTTTCCTTATCAGCCTTCCTCCCTGTCAATCTCACAGTAGTCATGGGGTTTAGGATTCCTACTTCCTGATTTTGGGCCATCAAAAAAGCATGTTTATCAGAGCAAGACAGTCCTGAAATAAAAAAATATGGAACCCCAGCAGAAGGGATCTCTTCCATGGCCAACAGCCATATTTTAGTATTAAATAACAAAGAATTACAGAAACTTAAGCAGGAATGGCACCCGTCTACCACCTAGATTAGCTATCCTATTGAACAGGTAGCAAGTGTTTGAAAGCGGGTGCTGTCAGGTGTGATGAGATAAAAGGTAACTAAGATAAGCTGAAGAAACCAGGTTTGCAGAAATACCAAAGCATAGCTTCAAATGACACACAGCTCTGCCCTGCAAACGCTACTAGCGGCCACCAAGTTCAACCTGGCAGGCACTGTCAGCAGAAACACAAAAGGCAGGGGCAGGACGCAGGTTTGTTCCACGGCAGTGCTGTGCGTCGCAAAGACAAGGTTTGGGGAAGACATACGTATGCTATGACCCAAGCACATGACAGTACCCAGAATTCTCAGTTCTATACAGGTTTATCGCACCATCATCCACCTGCTTCTCGACACCAAGCCTCGGGTGATCAAAGTTGGAAGACAACAGGGGAACATTTGGGTCCCGTAACGAACCAGGTAGGATGAGGCAGGTGGGGTGGAGAAGGGAGCGGGACCACCTTCCTGCACCAGCTTTATTTTACGGTGGGAATGCAAGGACAACGCTTCTCTTAGTGCAGTGGTACTCACCTCAGCATTCTGGTGTTCTGCTCAAAATCAAGCAATACAGAAAAATATCGATCTCCATGGGTAGATATTTCCTTGATTTAATTACATGACATTTCCTTAACTTTTTGGCATTTGCTACTTCTTGGTTCCAAGCATACAGAAGCAATAGACAAAGTGAACAAGTAAAAAGCAACTTTTCATTGTGTTTAGTTTGTGAAAACTTCTTCTGTCTTGGTCTTGTTTGTGGGTATGATTTTTGGAGTGCCCAAATATAATATTTTGTGCTAGAAAAACTTTAACCCTTTAACCATGGACATGTATTGCTTTTATTTAAAAATCAGTTAAAAAGAAAGATAAGAAACATTTCCAGATAAGAAAGATAAGAAACTGACATTAACCTTTCTGTCCATACACAGCAGCCTTACCCTGCAACTGTCCCTTAGTCTGTCACTATCGTTTGTCACGTGACAGTCAGTCCATGCCTGCTGAGCGTGCAGTGAAGCTCTGGGGCAAAGTCAGTCTTTGAGAAGCTTAGAACCTCAATGGCGGAGACATAACTTGAACTGTTGGGAAAGTACTTAATTTCTAATTATTTTAAAAGCAAATAAACACCAATTGCCCATGGCTTTCTCCATTTCTTATGTCACCACTGAGGAAAACTGCTATTCTAGTACAAACATAAATACTCTCCTTTTATTAACATGTGTGAATAGGAAACATGATCACCTGTAAAAAAAACAAAAGACAGCTTTGCTCTTCGACAATTTCAGAATAGGGAACTTTGGCTTTTTATTCCTTCTGAGTTTCTGTCACTGACTATGTTTTTATTGCTGTGCCATTCACTCAGGATTTGCATAACCTCAGCTCCTCAGATATAAAAACAATTTAGAAACCATTTCCTAATTTTACATTTTAAAAGTTACTATTCAAAAAGAAGAGCCTCTTACACCCCCCCAAACCCTAACCCCATCACGAGTAATCTGATTTAATACAAATCTATAAATAATTTTGTTCTTTCTCCTCAAAAAACACTTGGGTAGCTTCTCAAGAGTTACTGTTTAAAACTTTACCTACAGAAATGGAAGCACCAGCGTTTCACCCCTCCCGCTGCCACTCCGGCTCCGCGTCAGCGGGCTCTGCGCGCGGCGCAGCCTCCTAGTCGCTCTTCTCCTCGCCTTGGTAGTGTCTGTACTCCGGCTTCAGCTCCCACGTGTTCTTGTGGATCCCTTTTACATTCTGAATACCAATTTCTTGTAAGATTTCCTTCAGGTACACCTTAAAAACAAAACAACCAGAACCAAAACAAAACCCAAACAGATGAGATTATGAAGGCAGGAAGCACAATTTAAAATACAGTGATACACCAAACCACATTAATGAGTAATAAAAATGAGGATCCTGAAAGCACAAGATTTTTCTATAGAGTTCAACAAGCTGCCGTTTGATCCTACACGTGCAAATACATGATAGCGGCATTCCGTATACGGTCATGTGCGTTCAAGGGGTTGGGAGTCCGGAACACCAACCTGAGAGCTAAAAACAGGTCTAGATGAAAATGCACTGAAAATTCCTGGCGCCCAGTATTTGTTAGGATGATCTGCCCTTGAGTTCCGTGGCCTCGCTTAGTCCACAGTCAGAGGGTTATTCTTGAACCAGCTGCTTCAGAAGCAGCAGCATATAAAAAAATGACAAATATTTTTGGGACAATAACATTCTATGAAGCAGGCATGTGACAGGCAGCCAGAATTCTCAGTTCTGACTTGCTATCAGGCCCCTTATTTTTCCTGTGTAATAAGGGAAGTCATTATTTGTGTTTGCTATTACGTGTATCTTGGCCGAGCTTGTCATGACAGGGGAGGGATAAGAAGTGATACTCAGACACGGCAGAAAGTGTGGGGGCTGCAGCTTGCTTGAGCTTGGCTCCTCAGAAGGAAAGAGGTCGAGTGCCGATGTGGGGCAGAGCTCTGCAGTATGTGTTTTAGGTCCTGAAAATTCAGTAGATATTAATCAAATGATTATTATACGTGTGGAAATGACGGCTATGATCAATGTGTTACAAGACCCCACCTTTGCTTGCTAATGCCCAAGGGCAAAAGGCATTCCACTATAAGCTGACCGATATAAATTATAGTGCTGTACTTCCTTCTTGGAGAGAGAAAAGTTAATTTAAGAGTGATTTTTTTGGGCTGCAGAACAAACCAATCCAACCATAATTTTTGTGTGTAATGCTTCAAAGAACCGGCTACAGCATTGCAGTGACTCAGCCCATTGATGGAGAATGTAATACTTTTTTATTGAGATGACGCACTAATTAGAAAAACGGTTGCTAAGCTCTTACCTAGGTAATGTTAAGGCAGCGCCCTTCCCCGTGTGGTGTTAGCTGATCTGATTCAGAACCTCATGGGAAGCCTGCTCAATAAGCCCCACTACTTAGGCCCCAGTGTGTCAAAATTTCTGGGGCCAGGCCTGGGAATCTGTATTTTTAAAGCCCCCCCACCCCTACCCCCTCGCCCCCCGCAGGAGACTCTGATTTCACTAAAGCCCTACAGTGTTGGCTTCTAGGAGTCTCCCAGCGCTAATACTCAAGGACCTTTGAGTCCCTGAAGCGTCCTCCGAACTCCCCTCGCTGGAGATCACGCCTTAACGATCTATCGCCACCTGACCTGGACGGCATGATGCTCTCTAGTTTACCAAGTCCTTTCACACAGGCCCCAGCAGGTGGCAGCACGGAGCCAAAGGCGGCCTCGGCTGCCCAGGAGGAGGCTTGCTGGCCTCCCACACCTTCAGCTGGCTTCACTGAAGGGCCCCTGTGAATGAGTAAGATGGCTTGTGACTTCCAGGTGACGTGCATGTCTACCACCTGCCCCTTCAAACTACATTTTAAAAATGGGACACTTCATTAAACTACTTTCTAATTAAACAGGATTCGTACATGGAAAATGATGGGTTGAGCACAAATGATTTTCAGTTTAGATGCCAAGCACGACATCTTGGTAAAATTCCCAAAAATGGTTTATTGTGAGTGACTGGGACCCTGTGCACAAAGTCACATGAGCATGGATGCTTTGCAATGGTCCAGAGGGGAAAGGGCATCGCCAGGGGCACCGTGCCTGCCTGACAGAAGCTCTCCTGACTTCAAGTCTAATGTGTCCATTCATAATCTAGATACAGAACATGCAAAGGCCAAAAAGGGTGAAACACAAAATATTAAGAAGGTCTTAAAGTGTACAAATTCAGTTGCTTTCATGTGTAGTCCACCCTTGTTTTGGTAAACTAGTATAATAAGGTTAGGAAGTATTTCGTTTTTTTATGAAGACGTCGCTCTTTGCCTTTTTTAACAGTAGGAATGGAATGAGATATTCAGTCTGTCAATTAATTAGTCAGATAACAAGCAGGATTAGGGTCACATTATCTAGCCATGGTACAGAATTCTTGGGGGGGCAGGGGCACAGAAACAAACCTCTGGAGTTCTAGAATGTTGCAAACTGCAACCTAAGACCGTCTCACTCAGGCAAATGAATTAACTTGGCACAAAGCATCAGCAGAGCAAGTGGCAGTGCTGACAGGGAGAGACACGGTCAGAGAAGCCCCGAAGGGAAGGCACAGTAGACAACAGGAGGTCACGTCCTTCTTCCGGTGGGAAGTTTTCAGCGACTTCCCCCGTGGCCGACAGGCTCAACCCCAAACTCTTCACAGGCACCCGCTCAGGTCTGCCTTTGCCTTTGGCCTCATCGCGGATACGTCCCTTTACACAGACCTGCCCTTTCTGTGTCCGCAGGCTTCTAGGTGGTTTCCACATGCTCTTCCCTCTCCCGGCAATGCGTATCCCCTGCTCTCGAATCTGAAGTCCTTACCCTGGAAGACTTTCTCCGGAGAACCTCCACTGACAGGCCGACGTCTCAGCGGCAGCCTGTACTGTACTGTTATAACCCGTTACTTACACGTCTCTCTCGCCCTCTTACGGAGCCTGCCTGCGCACGCAGAGGCTCCGGTGCACTCACGCTGGCTGAGCAGGATATGCTGAAGCATAAACCAGGAGCCAGGAGGACTGGGGGCGGCGGGGAAGGTCACTTCACAGGGCCACAGGAATAAGCTAACTCTGGCTCCTTTTATTTTTAGAATTCAGGCTCTCATGAACTTACAGGGCAGTGACTCAGTTTGAGAAATAAAAGCTGATTGATTAAATTGCATTACCTGAATGTGAATGACATTTATTACTAACATCTGTATTCTAGTGCTAAAATACTGTTAGAGACAAAGCCAGCCAAGAGGGAAATTTTAAAGGTTCTAACAGGATGGAAGATTAATTGGTAATTTAACTTTCCTTTTTAAAAATTCATATATTCACGGAAGCATTTATTTTAGCACCTACTCTGTGCCAGGTACAAGTCAGCCTTTATCCTCACAGAGTCCACAATTTAAGATAAGAGTGAGTGGGGCGGAGGACAAAGGCACACACGCAGGCAATCACCAAGAACACAGAAGCACAACAAGGACAAATACATAGGATATTATGGGAAGCGCTGAGGAGGGGCCCCTAACTCAGCCTTCAGGAGAAATTAGCTCTCCCCCTTACTTAGACAAACATGCCTTTCCACTTGAATCTCTGCCTGGTCACTTGTATTTTGAGGGGTTCTGGACCTGAGTAGATCACCTTCGTTTCACACAGGACTGGAGTGATTTCTCACTGCTGACTATGTGCCGAGCTGCAGAACACGATATGAAAAAATAAACTGGCTGAGGTCCAGCAGTTCTCCATCAAAGGGACGTGTGGGAGAGTGTTTACAGTAAGTCTGGATGCCAAGGAAAAGAGACAGAAAATTACAGCTGCCTTGGAAGCGAAAGGCAGAGCACACACTGGACCCAAGAAGTCAAGTGCTTAGGGTGTGGCTTGCACACACCTGTGGGGGCCAGAAGGCCAGGAGGCCTCAAATTCCTAATTTTCAAGACAAACCTGTGTGTGGACACAAGGACAGTGGCTAATATTTTCCTCTCATTTCCTTTCCTTCCCTCCCCCTACCCCCAACCACTTCTCTTATCATCATTTCCTCTACTGCTCTGCCAGCCCAATGGAGGATTTCTCTGCATTTCATTTTATCAGGAATTTCAGTGTTAAACATTACAAAGAAAGACTAGATAATCTCTATGGTTACCTTTATCTTTAAGATCCTGAGTCAGATACACACATACACACACACACACACACATAGTAATATGCTCTGAGATATAGATATCACACACGTATCATAGTTGTAATATATACATACATCACGAAGAGTAAACAGGGGCAGCTTGGGGGATGGTGGCAACACTTTAAATGGGATATCTAGGGAGGGGGAGGCTTTGGAATGGTGCAGAAATCAAGAGTTCCGTTTGGAACACACTAAATTGACCTGAGATTACAGTAACGCGATTAACAGCGATTAGGTGCTACCTCTGGCAGGCAGTGTGGACGAGGCCACGGGCCCTGGCTGGCAGGTGCTCCCACCCCATGGTGTGGGTCCAGGGATGGGCATACAGCCCTACCAGGTTAATTCAACCTCCCCTGGGGCTTCTATTAGAACAATCTGTCCTCTTTTTTGCTCAGGGGTCGTCAGCTGGGAGGTGCTTCAGGGGATCACTCTGGTGACCAAATGGCAAGACCCTGCCTAAGAATAAAGACAGCACACGAGAAAGGCAGAATGACGGGAAGGGACGAGTCTAACTGGACAGCACCAGAGCCTGGACCTAGCCGGGGTTACAGCCAGAAGCACTCCTGAGCTTCCAGCCACAGGAGCCCATACAGTCTATTCTTGTCGAAGCGAGTGAGTTTGAGTTGAGTTTCTATTCCTTGCAACTGAAGGAGTCCCAGCCAACTTGTAGATCTATAATAGCACACACCTGTAAATAAAATTTTATTTTTTGACAGGAGAAAGTCTCAGTATGTCAAATTTTCTAGTCACTTTATCCTTAAAAAACATATCTTCCGTATGTTACTGATGTCCAATTTTGCTGAAATTACTTCTATTCAACCTTTTACCTGGCCTGCCTGGAAACCTCTGAGGATCAGGCTGGCATCTCCGTATCGCTGCACTGCTTCGCTTATCAGCAGCCTGCTCTGTGTACATAAACTGTGGTTGCTGAGCATTTAGTGCTGATGAGCTTGAAGTCTGGCCATCGAACTGCCTAAAATCAAAGTCATGTAAACCTTTGCCAAGTTTATTCTGTTGATTTGAACTTACTTTAACAACAGAGCGCAAACTGTTGAATAACATATTCTGAATGAAAAATGGTCCAGTGGATCCACATGACAGGGGGCTGCTGAGTTGTGGGAGGTGGGGGAGTGGGGGTTGGGATCAATAATTAACGATGCATTTCCCTGAAGCCTGACCTGAAAGTGGGTGGCTATAGCTCAAGGGAAGTTGAGTGGTTCAGCTGTAATCAGAGCAGGTTTTGGAGAACCCTTTTACTAGAAATGTAGTTACAGGTGCTGCGTTAAGAGGAGAGTGTGTCAGTGCTCAGTGGTCTATGCAGTTTGGTGTTTCAAAGTGAACAATTAAAGTTTCTAACTGTATTTTTGAAGGAAATGCTATATATGCTTCTATTTTAAAGATACAGTAAAATATAAAGAAAGACTAGACATAACACATTCAAGGTGGAAGATAAAAAATTGCCAAGGGAGAAATAATGGAATCCCTGGGATATTTCACTTTAGAAGGGGGATAAAAGCCCAAATTTAAATTGTGTAAAAGCACCCCTTTAAATGGAGGCTGACTGTGTTTCTGACTCTCTATCCGTTACCAGGGCCTGGGCTTTTAAACTGGCTTGTTTGCTCTTTAAGTCACTGATTGCTTATGCAAGTCACATGCTGGGAAGGAGAGCAGGCTGGACCCAAGGGCGGTTTCCCTAATCGACATTTTTGCTTGTAGAAATGCGGGTTTTAGGAAGAATAATACAGCAAGGAAGGAACTGGAAAAACAAGAAAATACTTAAAATTCACTCAGAGTGTCAAAAATGACATTCTAAAGGCCAGAAAGCAGATGGCAACTTAAGAATAGAGTGGAAGCACTAATGACAAAGGGGACATGTTAAATGAGACACTTCATGGTTAGAAACTCACCAAAAGCGGCCCTGGAGGCCACCAGAAAATGAGGGAATGTCACTAAATGCATTTACTAAAGACGTGATCAAGATGCATAAGGTCTCTTTTCTTCCCTTCCACACAGGGCTCCAAAATTTGTTAACAGTGCTACTAATAAATATTTGTACAATACTTTGCAGTTGACAATGCAGCTTTCATAAACATAATTTACAGGGATCCTGTAAACTAGGTATTATGGTAAACATTTAACATCTTAATTTTATAATATTATAGACATTTAATTTGAGCACATTGGCCAGTTTTATATTAAGTACCAGTATGTCATATGTTAAGTAATAAATGTTAAATAATGCATTAAACATTAGACATAGTTAAGTATCTTGGTCAGCACTATCTGGCTAAACGGTGGGGCTGGGATGTAACCTGAGGTTCCGTGCTCCAAACCCATGCTCTTTCCATCACACCACGAGGCCCCTTTCCTGGATCACTGATTTTCAGGCTACACTGGGCTCCTTGATTCTCTTCTTGTTGCTCAGACTAAAATCAAATTAGTAAGTGTGTGCAGATGACCATTAGTACAGACTCACTTATGTGAACCTTTTCAAGGGACAGTTACCTACACGGTGGAGAGTTGGGCTTTGGCCACTTTCTTTCTAGGTCAATAGGCTTTGCCAACTCAGTTCAAATGTGAGAGGGAGGCGGAAAGAAGAAGACGAAATAGGCGACAATCACAGATTTAGAGCTGGAAGGGATCATAAGATCATCTAGTCTGGCTCCCTTACTTTTAGAACTGGAGGTGACTTCCCCAGGTCCCACGGAGGTCAATGGCAGGGCTGGCACCCATGCTCTAGGCCAGGGTACCAGTCGCCCTAGCATGTCACATTCCTTGAAACCGGCTCTCTGTCCCCGACCTTGACATAAACGACCCGAGGCCTGTCAAATCCATGTGAGGAAAATCCGGTTGTCCTGGATAGTGAGGATGCGGCCATTTCCTTTTGCCAAATCAACTCATCTAATATTTACTGAATTTCTCCTCTGTGTTATAGAGTGTATGACTGTTTAGGGATATGAATAATATACAACTGTCTTCAAGAACCTATACTTACCAAGGCAATGTAGTCTCTAAGTAATAAAACTGGTATAAAATAATTTAGCTTCTAAATCAGTGGTTCACCAGCACTTTGAGGGTCCTAGGCCCTCTATGAGAATCCGATATAAACTATGCATCTGCTCCCAAGAAAAACCCCTACGTTTTGACACATGCAGATTACTGGATCTCCTAAAGCCCATGAATTAAAAAGGAAGCTCTATTTTAAGAAATTCACTGAGTACCACCACATAAAAATTATCTGGAGAAACAAAACTGAGAAAAATACTAGTTATCCCTTTTCTTTGATGCAAAATGAGTAAACTTTAAAAACGTGTCACTCCATGTTACGGCAAAGAAACTGCTTTCCCTAGTACCATTGCAATGGCCCTCTACAATTGTCTATTTTCCCACATATGATTTTGTGTGTGTTATTCCAGGAGAATATACTGTCTGCATTCGGAGTTTCTGAAATGGCCTTTTCATATTGATATAAAATACAGGATAAACTTCATTAAAACCAGAAGAAACACGGTTTAGCTAATGAATTATTCCATTCCAAATGTGTCATCTCGCTTGGAACGCCACGCCTAAGGTGCTGAGGCTGAAGGCAGCGAAGCCATTAAGATGAGCTGATAATAGTGCGGGCATGAGCACTTTCCTCTTCTTTATTAAAATAACTATTTAGATCTAGTGCAATTTACATTAATTTCTTAATGAAAAAGTAAAAGGCTAAAGTACAACAGTAGAGAAGTATCTGTAGAAGTGGGAAACTGTACAATCAATACTGAAGTTTCATAAATCATTTCCTAAAGCTTTGAACAGATCAGAAAAAAATGTGCCAAGCCCTTTCATAAACAGGGATTGGTTAAATGTTTTAAAAAACTGGTTATAGTGTTACATCTTCTGAAGCAGATAAACAGACCGGGTAGAATATTCCTGAAGGATACTGGCAAAGTGAACAAAACATAAAGGAAACTAGAGAAAAGGCTAGAAAATAAAAGGTTTTCCATTTAACTTTTAAATCCTGGAAATAAATACTGATATAATTCAATCTGACTCTTTGCTAACATTTTAGGGTGTGAGGAAGTTAAATGGAAGGGAATGGGGCTCAAAGGCTGAAGAAAGGATTTGTATCCCTAACTTGTCACCAGCATATTAAATGGACTAGAAATACAAATCATCAGCAGATAGGCACAAAAGTCTGGAGAAGTGATTAAAAAATGATTATTTATAGAACAGAATTTCTAAAACCTCAACTGATTAAATTTTTCCTTAAAAATGGAGAATAGGCCAACCCAACCCCAATCTCAGCAAACACTGTGAGGCAGCACTTATCCCGTTTAAAAGGCCCTAATGCTGGTGCGGGGGAGATTCTGATTAAAACAAACAAACAGACAAAAAAACCCCAAAACAACCATTAGAGAACAGCCCGCAAGACAGGGACAAACTCTCTCACTGTGACAGATCAGTATGACTTAAAAGAATATGGTTCTTTTGAAACATATTTTCCAAAACAAAAAGACTAGAAGTGATATAAACAGGTGTCAAGGGTCAGTCAAAAGGAGGATAAATCCACCTTTTCTTCATATGGAACTATTAGCATTAAATGTGTTTGAAATTCAAAATAATTAAGCTGACGTTATTTTTTGTTTGTTTGTTTGTTTTTTTTTAGCTGAGCCATCCTGCCACCTGTTGGCAGCTCAGTGGCTGCTCAGCTCGGGCCGGGCATCGAGTTGCGGTTGCTCAGAGCTCAAACTCTTGAGCGAGCTCTTAACCAACTGAGCCACTCGGCCAGCACAAGCTGACGTTATTTTTTAAAAGCTGCGTTAAGACATCTTTTCTGAGTGTGGAGCTAAAACCTGTCCTAGCACAGGTACACAGGGACTCCTTCCTGACCCACCTCTCCGATATCGCACGCTTCCCGAGCAGGACACACCGGAAGGATCACGGTGAGCATATACGTACCACAGGCTGTTTGGTGATGTCCACCAAGTCCTTAAGATTGTAATACTGATGTTTCTCAAAAGCCGAAAACAGCATATCTAAAACGTATTGTTTATCAGCCCGAGCTCGTTTTCCATCTTCTTTCTTTTTCCTTTCATATTCAATCTATGTGCAAAAGCAAAAGAAATGAAAGAATCAATTCAACATACTCACCCCGAAACATAGCCACTTTCTTTTGCGCCATCCAAATAACTTAGATTTTAAGCTTCAAGGTGGCAGGTGACAGACCAGTGGTCCAAAACCCAGGGTCCTCCCCGCCCCCAGGGCTCCTCAGGTCTTTGAGGCTCTGAGTGTCAGATTGGTATTAAGGCCCCTCTGTAAACCATTTTCATTACTTCCTAAAGCTTTATGTAATGTGTCCATTTCTCCCCAAAGAGGCTTTCTTTGCTAGAATTGCATCACTTCAGTGTGGCCCTGCTTAGCTCATACTGATGAGAAGTCTAACGTGCAGTCTGTCTGTTTCTGATTACCCATAACACAATAAGTTTATCTAACAGAGGCAGCTGGATAGGTGACATCTTTCAAAATTGGGGCCAGGCACAGGATAAGGAGGCTGGCAGATCATAAAACAGGATCTCCAGGAAGGGACAAGTTTGGGAAAAGCATGGTCAGTGATGGGGCCGTCCGTCACCCCAACTCCATGTGACCTCCTTGAACTTGTTTCTGCTCCGATAGAACGACGCGAGCGACGGCACTGAGGGAAGCACAGACGCTCCTACTGTTCCCACCCAGAACCTGCTTATTTGTAAAAAATTACCTGTTTAATGAAAACGTGCAACTTTCAGTTGATTAAGCTTTTAATTTTCCTAGAAACACTTCATTTTGATAAGGCATCAGGAACTTGTTAAAGAGGAAATACACGAGGTATGATCCAAAAATATGGTGAATGTTTAAATAAAACAAATTTATTACAGTAGAATGCACATTGCCATTAATCCCCCTCAAAATACTCCCCCTCGCTTTGAACACACTTATCCCATCGTTCTTGCCACTTTCTGAAGCAGTTCTGGAAGTCCTCTTTCGTGAGTATCTTTAGTTGCTCTGTCGTGGCTGCCTCGATGTCCTGAATCATTTTGACTTTGGGGAAGAGCCAGAAGTCACACGGTGCCAGATCCGGAGAATAAGGTGGATGAGGACACACCGTAATGTTTTTATTGGACAGAAATTGCCATGCCAGAAGCGATGTGTGACACGAAGCGTTGTCATGGAGGATGAAGTAAAGACACTAACGAAAGAGGACTTCCAGAGCTGCTTCAGAAAGTAGCAAGAACGATGGGATAAGTGTGTTCAAGGCGAGGGGGAGTATTTTGAGGGGGATTAATGGCAATGTGTCTTCTACTATAGTAAGTTTTTTATTTAAATGTTCACCGTGTTGTTTCATCACACCTCGTATAAGCTGCAGAGCCCACCTGGTGAATAGAGCCCCAGCAGGCTGGGGTGACAGGTGCCCGAGAACACTCTTCTGGGCATCGGCTGGAGTAACTAAATCTAGGTAGGGGCTGCCTTCAAAAGGAATGACATGCATTTCAAAACCTCACACTGAACAACTGCATCAATTCCAGCCTCATGGAGTCAGGCTTACTCTCTTTTAACAATAGCGATTTGTTATCAGAAAGATAAAATTTAGTTTCTACTCATGTTAAGACTAAAAAATACATAACATTATACATAATCAGAAACTTTCAAATTAGTAGCAAGAGGTAACTGACAACAATGAGTGTCTTCAATTAAATAAAATTAGGAACTAGACAAGGAGAAATAGTCTTAATTTTTTTGCTATGTAGATCTTGGGAAGAAAACTCAAAATCCATTCATGTCAGGGGATGAGGGGATAAGACTGACGGTGTTTAATGGTACAAACTTGCAACAAGTAGTAAAATAAGCCATAGAGAGAGATACAGTGCACAGTGTAATGAATACAAGCACTATTGTACTATAATTATGTAATAAATATCACTATGACAGTCACATTACTATAAATGTATCAAAGTAACACATTATACACCTTAAATTTACACAACATTACATGTCACATTTATTCCGTTAAAAGAAATGCACTCATCTCTTCAACAGATTGTGGACTAGGTACCTCCCACTGCCTCTTGCAAAACATATCCCCTTTTTAGGGCTCATGTATTAAAATGTAGGTAGAAGCATTTTAAATGTAGTAAGAGGAGATCACCGGAAAATGCAAATGCATGACACAGGCTGCACTGTCAGGGAGGAATGAAGATTTTCTGGGTGGGAAGAGCATGAAAGAAAACAACTAAAAAGGATTTACTAGGGAAGAGCAGAGGGACTGGAAGAACCAGAAGCAAGACTGGAGCGAGGAGAGATCCGAGGAGCCCATGACCACGGAGAAACCCAGTCTTCCCAGGGTGGGGAAGACGGAGAAACATGAAAAAGCATGCATTTAGGACAAAGGCAGAAGTATAAAGTCTGCCCCAATTCAGCAAGAAAGGAGGCTGCGAGAGAGCAAAGACCTAAAAGGATGGACCTGAGGGCCATTCCAGAAAGAAGTTTCTTTCTCTAGGCTCAGCAGAAGGCTGGGACTAAGAGAATGCTGGACGAGGGAGAAAGAACGTGTGACAGACAGGACAAAACTCACAAATCCAAGCAGGGGGCCTCTGGGTTAAACAGACAATGATGTCACGAAGCCTTAAGGGTCTGATGTTTTAAGCCCAGCCTTACTGACCAATGACTGGAATGCATCTGTACCCTGTTTACAATGGCACTTAGTTTACGCCCTGAAACCTCTGCTGCTGCCCCAATGCACTTGACAGGTTTATGCTTTGTACAGTGATGGACACTCGTGAAGTGGGCCTGATAAAAACGTAGGAAAAAGTCTGGTCCGGGGATGACGCTGTTATTACAACCCTTTACTCTGGTCAAGTGTGAGGTAAGAAAAACTGAACTTGGGATCTAGGAGGGAGAGAGGGAATCCGACTAAGGAGAAGGGATGTGGCTTGACTGGGGTGTGGGGTTCATTTATCAAAGGCCACTGGTCCTCAAAGCACCACCAAAGAAGGAGGGACCCAGTAAAGGAGCAGGGCCAGGCTTCGCACCCCCCGTGTGGAGGCAGTGGGGTGCTATTCTGGCTGCCCTCCGCCCCGCTTTCATTTATGCTGAAAGAAGACAGGAAAAGTTCAATTCCGGAAACGGAAGAGGAGAAGTGATGGTGTAATCCGCTTCCGCCCTTAGAAGTCTCTCTCTCTTACGTAAAATGGCTGGAGAAGCCAGGAAGGTTAACAGGAAAAATGTTCCAAATGAAGACGCTGCTGGTGAAGCAGGAGGGCGACTTCAGGGGCGGCACACACGCTAGCTGGCGGGGACAGAAAAACCTCTGGAGCGTTATTAAGTTGTCCCAGCCCAGAGCCACATGTCAATCCCAAGAAATCAAACATAAGAATTTAGACTAAATTAGAAAGAAACTTAAAAATCAAACTGAAAGGGTCAGATTAAGTTGTGATTAGCAAAGTTAATTAGTGAGAAAAGTCCCAAATTCTAGCCAGATCTTTCTTCTTTTAACCTTGGTTTTCAGGCTTCAATCTCAAAAATACCGCATTTAATGTGCTCTCCTTATTCAAATTAGGGGAAAAACAGACCAATACCGGGGGCAGTGCAGCCTAATTTTACTCTGACTAGTGAAATGAAAACACTTAGAAGTAATCTGAAAATCCAGACACATAAGATAATAACAGCAATGACAAAAATGGAAGTATTATTCCTCATGAGAGAAATTTAAGGGCTAGAAATTTAACCCTACACTTGTTTAAAAACAGAAAGTGGAACATCTCTTCAATGCCCTCAAGGTCTGCACTATAGGACAACCTATAGAAAAGACAGTTTTAAAACAAAATGTTTGTACTACAGCAGTAGTTAAATATTTTTTTATAATTTCCAAGACAGGCTCATAATGCAAGCTCTGCTCTGTGGTGCCAGGTGGGCCCAACGTGCATGGAACTTAAAAAGGAATTGAAATGATTTCCACGGTCATTAAATTACTGATGACTCATTTTATACTCCGGACAAAACTAAGGTTCCTGAGGTAACTTTTCTTTTTAAAACTAAACAGTGTAGAAATGATGATCTTAATACTGTATTTACAACTTCGCACTACTATTAAAATGAATTCTACAAATAAACGACAAATGATATGAACCAGTCTGTTTAGGAGACTACAGTTTGGGGATAATGTTACTTCTTTTTTTATTTCCTCTTTTCCCTTGGGCATTTTGTTCTGCACTGGTGCACCGGCACTGGGAGGAAACAATCCTCAAAGCAGTCAAATGTCTACCTGGTTACCAGCCACCACAAAATATTAGTAGGACAGTGACTGGGCTAGAGAAAGCATTTATATTACGTGAACTTTCATTACTGAGCTTGTATCTGCCCCCAGTGACCATAGATCACTACATAACCAGCTGCATTGAAATAAATGTCAACTCAGGATGAACTTTAAATGTAGTCTCCAGTCACAAATTTTTACAATCCCCAAAATCCATCATACACAATTTTACTTTCACAACAGAAAACGAATTATTCCAGACTGACATGCAATCCAACGCTGAAAACCCATCGTGTTTTCACACATGGATGTGGTATAGAGATGTGCAGCCGTCATTACTGAAACCGTAATCACGGACTAAATTATAAATGCCACCCACTGCCAATTAAAATACTGCAATCCAGATGTCTGTAAATTTCTAGATTGTTGTTTGCAGAAATACTTTGATTACTTCATCAAGGCAGTCTTTGTGGAGGCTTTTAACTTTTGAAGTGAGTATGACAGCCCTGATTATCATGGTTTGCATTTTAGATCCTTAGGAAAGCTCCCCATCCCCAATGCTTCTATTTCTGCCTCGTGTGTGGAAATTAATTCTTTAGAGTTGGTCAGTCCCTAGCGTGCAAATTCAAATGAACAAAAGCATGGAGTAGACTCATACTATATTGCAACAGGCAAATACTGTTTAAAGGCCTGTGTAATATAGTCCTGCGGGCATCTATTTTAGTAAGAATTCCAAATGTATACAGAGAACTGAAAAAACAATAAACCCCCCCTCCCGCCCCCACTCCTCCCACACACACCTTGAGTTCTGCAGACT